ATAAACGTCTTTTCCAAGCGTAGACGTTCCCTTATCTAACTAGTATTCTTTAAACCCTCAATCCAATGGAATATTTTATTATAAAGGTATACTTCTTTCACTACCATCATTCTTCTTGTGACCACTTGTTTTTCAAAGTTATATTATAACTTCCTGCTTGGCAGCTTATGTGAACTTACGGCCTCAATAGTCATTATAACTTTTTCGTCATGACTTCCAGAGTTGTGCCATTGCTACATTTTCCTATTTTGCATTCTTATTTCAAGCACCTCATTTGAATGGAATTAGCTATTTTAAGTCAGATTTTATAATGGTGTCTCTATAGTATACTTTTATATCTGACGCAGATTTCGTGTATACTCACTCGGAATGCTTCAAAACTCATTTTTGTAGGACGCGTTGCCTGTGAACTGCAGCAAATGGAGATCCTTTTGACTCAGCTTCTATTGGATGGGACATTCACTCGTCTCCCAGCTGCCGATATTGCTGCTCTCCTCTCATGTTTTATTTTCGAGATAGGTCATGCTGGAAGCCAGCAAAGAAAACAGATTTTCCAGCCACAAATGGATAGACCTTCTGGACAGTCTAAATCTTTTCAAGCTCCGCTTTCGGCCCAACTACCGTCACTCCCGCAGTTGGCCGATTCCCTTTCCGCTACTGAACTTGGTGATGGGGTTGTAGAAGCTATAACAACTTTTCCTCTGGCACCCAGCTCTATCATTCCATCTGGTGCCCAGCTCTCCGTGGCCTCAAATGCTTCTGAAGCATCTTTTGTTCACTATAACATAGATTCCCTATCAGACTCTGTACCACTTCATCTGGTTAAACCATTGCAGTTGATGATGTCTAGAGCAGTTGAAGTAAGTAATAACGCTATTTTTCATTAACTACTTACTATCCTTCATTTATTTTTAAAAAGGATTTAAAGCAGATTTATTCCATTTAGTACTTTAACAAAGAATTACAATTACCTTCTTACTGACCAATATAAAATCACAATTATTATCTACATGTAAATATCTTAACCTTCAGTTTTCGAAATGGTTTTAGATGCATTCCTTTAATATTCTTCCATTTTGATCTGTAAAGGTTTTATAGTTGTTTTAAAATGGTTAAAAGAGACAAATTTATTCAGATATGTTGTGGTACATTAGCTATGTACTTATTTGCACAGCCGATTTTTTAAAGATAGCTTATTCTCTTGATATGAATTTTTCAAATATTTACACAAAAATATGTTACGAAAAATCCATTTTTACACCAACTATTTTCGTGTGAAAGTGTGCAATGAAAAGGGTTTGAGGTCAATTTCACTATGCTACTGTAATTGTATTCCCTTGGTTGGCTTTATATTGATTTTACTGGGACTTATAAGCTGATATGAGGCTAGGTTCGTGGGCTTTAAGATTAACTATTTTGTTGATATCCAAGTATGATAACCTTAAATAATCGTATTAATTAGGAACTATACTTTTCGTACTTAGTGAGTGTAGTCTGCTCAAAGAAAAAAACACAACTTTGGGGGCCAGATGGTCGTGTGACTAAGGATACGTATAATCACAACAGTCAAGAAATTCGGTATTATGGCCAAATAGACTAATAATCCACTCGAGATGCAGCAGGCGACCAGAGATAAATGTCCACAATTTGTTCAGGGTTCATGGTCTTCTTATCTACATTTATACTATCCTTTTTATTCACCTCAAGGCGCATTTTTATATTAAGGACTATAGTTGCTTTTTCAATCAATGATATTATGTAGGCCTCGCACTAACATTGTTTTTAACTCAGCTTTGATCATCAAAAGGTACTCATTAATGTACCGCATAAGTCTATGCGGCCCAACGGGAATCCGACCCTAGTAGTGATGCGTATACTTTCGATATATCGCCACTACGCCATACCGCCACGAGTGCCAATGGGTCAAAGCATAGACGTGAATTTTAAGATAGGCCAGGCATCTCCCATATCACTTTCATAGTGTGATTGTCGAGCAGGAAACCGAGAGACGATTGCCATTACGATCAGCTACGTTACTTATATTCATGCTAAGTAATTGTTGAGACTATCAGTAGGTATTGGAAAAGATTTCGAAATCGCAATCTTCCCCAGATACGAATGCCTTCTGAAAAGCAAGGATAAGTTCTATTTAATCGTATCTTAAAACCCATTCATATTTCAGTCTGGAAAAACTTGGCTATCACTCCTTCATCACCTTAAGTCCTTTTTATTTGCACCTGTTAACTTAGCTGCCATTGTGAAAAGCTTGAAGTATAGTATCATCCGTTAAGCACAACAATTCGTTCTTTCCATTTGTCGTTTGTGGATAATTACAAAAAGTGCTATTGATAGTCCGCAATTTTTAATATGGATAAATTGACTACCAAGTCTGGAGTCAAGATCATCTCCGTATTGAATAGTTCTCGATAATTTTCGCTTGGATCGTCTTTTTGTTATGCCTTCACGGCACTTAATCGTACCAGGCTACTAATGCATCAAAAGCTGCAATGACTATTCTATTATTTTTATATTTTTCGAACAAGCAAAATTTAATTAAGGTCCCTTTAGTTACTTTATTTGCAACTTTGACATGCGATCTTCTTCACACTCAATCAGAACTAAGTTATTATTAAACCATTACTTTGTACCATTAAATATCGTATCCTGTTCCTTTCTGTGATTTTAGTCATTAGGTATTCTCGACCAAATTAATTATAGAAGTTGCTTGACCTTGTTTTCGCAACTTGGTCATATTGGTAGGAAGACTTAGAGGAACGCATCTTGTCCGGAGTCCA